CCCGATAAAAGGTCACATACGTCTTTCTTTCAAAAATGGTATAAAAACATTTGTTGTGGCTAAGTAATCACAATGTTCGCCATCAAAGCTGAATAGAAAGTATCACTAGAGACAAAATTATAGCCACAAAAAAAAAAGATTAAAATAAAAACTAAAATAATGATGAAGATGATGATGATAAAAGAAAAATGCTTTTATATGGCTCTAGTTCTAAATAAGTAAAGATTTACCTTAAAACTCATGAAAAATTTGCAATTCTTGTGTTAGAAAACTTTCAAATTGATCATCCCTATCTTGACCATTATGGTTATAAAAAAAAATTAAATTAAATTAAATCTCAAGCCCTCTAAAATAGTGTATATTATACATATTTAAGTTGTCAAGTACCATGAGAGACCAAATTACAGCCACAAAATCAAAATGTTTTGATAGGCCGCAGTCCTAAATAAATAAAGCGTCACATTATAAGTCATTGAAAAATTGCAGTTCTAACATAAGAAGACCTCAAAAATTGATCATCACAACCTTGACTATTATAATTGTAAAAAAAAAAATTCAAGCCCTAAAAAAAATGTATATTATAATACATTATCTCAACCGTCAAGTACTCCGACAAACAAAACTATAGCTACACAATATATATGGGAAATGATTTCATGCATCTATTGTATAGTAATATAATGAAATAATCTTCAAAAACTATATTAGGCCCATTTGTTTGACTCAAATTTTTAAATATACACTCTTTTCATTTTAATGAATGATCACAAAAAAACAAAAATTCAAAAACACAACCTAGAAAGTGTTTTTGAGCCCAGTTAACATATGCCATCTATTTTGGTGAGATGCTTGGATCTAAGCCTTAGAAGGATATTTTTCCTTTCCAATTTTGTTAGATAACTTTATTGTCATAAGATTAACGGTTAATAAAGAAAAAATTTATTTTGAATTCATATAGGCCTAGATCTTGAAATTCACGAAATTTACGGTTTATATTTATTGTTGGAGGAAACTCATTTTGATCATATATAAGGTGCAACTGGAATTTTATGTGATCAATGCATACCAATGAAACTAAATAGCAAGTTCTATAGGACAGCTGTGAGACCAGCTTTGCTTTATTGGGCGGAATATTGGGTGGACAAAAAATAATATACCAATAGAATATGTAGCGGAGATGATGATGTTGAGATAGATGAGTGGCAAGATAAGAAGGAATATAATTAAAAATGAATCCATTAGGAAAAGTTTAGTGTGGCACCAATAGGCGATAAAATGAGAGAGAGTAGACTTAGGTTGGCCGACTATGTGTTATATCGACCCAGTACAACACCTATTAGGCGGTACAAGTTAGTTCAAGTGGAAAGATTGAAAATACAAGAGATATGCCCCAAAGAACATGGTTAGAAGTAGTCCGAAAAGATATAGGGATTTATGACCTCGCTAAGGATATAATATTTAATATTTAACATAACATATTGGTGAACTAGGATTCGTGTAGCCGACCCCAATTAATTAAGAAAAGGCCATGACGATGATGATGATAAGGTGCAAATTAAATTTTTATTATTTTCTATATTGATTATTAAGAAGAAGGGAGTGTATACAAAATTTCAAGTCATACAAATACCACAAACATGATTTTCTAGAAGTGTAGTTTCATTATACTCTAATAACATCGTCACATGTTATTATTTCCTATATATATATAATTCTTAAAAACACCTAAAGGTGAATTACTACAGTAATTTGCCCCCGTCGCAGACATTGTTTTGCCTAAACGCCGCCACTAACCTACAGGGGCCGTAGCGGTCATCGTATATTGTTTGCATCAAATTTGCATGAAAAAAATCCCGTCGTGAACATGCGATATACATGACAGACCGCCATGGTGACAGTCTTTAATCCACGCCGTCCAAAAATTCGAACGACACCGAGCCTATGGGCGAAAATGCACAATAATACTATTTATTTCTCCCCTAGGTGATTTGTAGTCTCTTCTTATATATCCTATGAGACTATTTACTTTTGATATTAAGAAGTCAATCAAATTTAGCCATTACAAGTGAAATCCGATAGAATGAAATGTGTCATTTCGTTTGAAAGATTTTATTTTGGACATTGTGCATAATCAATGACACATCTGCAACCATCCGATTTCACATTCAATGATAGATAACGATTGACTTCTCGATATGAAAAATAAATGATCTCATTTTATATATATATATATTTGGAAAGATATTTTTTTGAGTAATTCAATGGGAAAAATAGACCCCTACCCCTTTTTTTCAAGTAGATTAAAAATAGGCTTTTTGAACCTATCAAAAAAAGTGGTATTAGTATAGGAATGGAAACCAATATGATGACTAAGATATAGAGTGACCACCACGACCCAAGCTCTTTCCTTTTGAGTAATTCAATGGGGAAGACAACCCTACCCGTTTTTCATATAAATTAAGGAGTCATAAGTGGTATCAGCAAGATTGGAAATGATAAAGTGGTACCTAAATATGGTGGTAATACTACCACGACCCAGCCCTTTTCCTAATATATATATATATATATATATATATATATATATATATATATATAACTAAACTAACTAACTAACTAACTAACTACTTACTACTAATAACTAACTATACTACTACTAGTAGTAA